TCGATTCCCGGCGGTGCCCGAATTTATAACTTGTGTTGGGCAAGGCCGTGGTCTAGGCAACACGGAGTTTTCCTCCGTGGCATCCCAACAGTTACTCCATTCACACACAGAAGAAGGCAATGGCAAACCACTTCTGTATCACCTGCCTAAAAAACATATGAACAGGTCCCAGTCCGAGAAAAGGATGGAAGGATCCTGTTCATATGGACCTGTCGTCAGACAGAACACTAAATAATAATAATAAACATATTAATAATAATAATGATAATTCAATTCATTTATTGAATAATATTTCACAAGCGAATGGGCAAAATACGATACCTAAGTAATATAATTCAATTAATAACACTAAATATTAATATTAATAATAATTTACATGGAAAAATACACATGAAGGCAGATTTGTGCCAGAAACAGAATCGGTTTTTAATTTTAACAGTAGCTATTTACCCTACCGTAACAAATGTTAAGGTCAATGGATTTTAATCAGAAGTGAATTTTTTTTTCTGGGCACGAAACCGCGTAAAATTTTCAAACAGCTCTGAGTTTCAGTTACAGTTGAATTAGCCCTGCTTATTATTTTACCCTAACAAGCATTGGTTCTGTTGACCGCTTACTTTCCTGACGTGAAAAGTTGAAACAAAAATTAGTAAAATCTAATGACATCCTTACAAAAATAAAATATCCATTTGGCTTTATTATAGAACAGAATATAAATAATCGGCCAGGTGCATTTACTCGAACAGGTGCTTTCTTTCTTCATCCAAGAAGTTAGTAGCAGGCGATGTGAGAGGAAAAAAAACGCCATTTTTTTCAACATCCCGTCGATTATAAATATCACCCTTAGAGCAAACCTCTACCTCTGACGTTCATCGGGACCGGATCAAAAATACGGCTACGAGTTAGTGACACCCTGAAGGAGGTATTCCGTGTTTTTCCTCGGGTGTAAGGCAAATGCCAGGGTATAATTTAAAAAAGCGGTACGTCCTGTTTACAACAGTCACGAATCACGGAGGTCATCAACCAAAGCGATCCCAGGTCTTCCGAGTTCAACTCCCATCCATTCAACCAAAGGCCTTTTCGCGAAGGACAGATTTCCTGAATGTAGCAACACTTCAAGGCCTTCTGTCACGATGACAACCACGTAAACACATCCCCTCCAAAGGATGTATTTACTAAATAAATCTTTAAAGAACATCCCGGAAAACATTACATTTGTAGATCAAATTGTTCCCCCCCCCCCCCCCAAATTATTTTTGATACATTAAGCAATTTTCTATTCCAACAATTTTCAATTTCTGAAATACATTCTAGCACCACTCCACTGGAATAACATTTAAAGGAATTTTCCCCTTCCCCCCAAGCATATTAAGATACTTAATTTATAAGCTGAATGTCACATTCCTGGATGTTATCATGACACATAATCTGAAACTTTAGAACTGTAGTTAATTAGTAATTTACCTAGAGATGCACGATATCGAAGCATGAGGAAGCCAGCGCCACACTGGAAACTCCTCTCCTGCAATAGACTGCAATTCGCAGCGTACACGAGATTCTGAATTCTTTATCCAGTGCACAGCCTTATTCCACACCTTTGCCAGACCTGCCAACATAATACTTTCCATATCATTGCTACTCTCATAAATTTACCTTCAATTATACAGACAGAGAAAAGCACTTAGCTCATACTGAAACAGGAAAAAAACATACTATTGCATATCAAAATACAGACACACTTATAATCAATATATTTTTAAGTTTAAATCATGGCTGCTAATACATCTTCATAATAATGATCCTGTTTCAAGATTTTGTAACTTTTACAAACCTACAAATGCTTATGACATTTTGCCCTGCTACCGAATCTTTTACATTCTTTATACAACAGATACAAACATTAATGCACGACTTACGACTGCGGTCTGGTGGAGGTATCAGCTGGTCTCTAACGTGATTGACTGCAAGGAATGGCTGTTTGCCAGGTGTGGCATTCTGTTGGTGGTTCACCAGAAGTTCAATGATGCGCTCTACCATTTTGTATACCTCCATTTTGTCTCGTTCCCTGTGCCGCATGTACCATTGTGTTGCTAGTTTGATACCATAAAGCACATAGATTCCTGCAACATGAAAGTACTAACTAAATACACATTCAATTACATTAAGTTGTGCAAAGAATAAGCAGTTAACATGATTTCCGCCTTTTCCATTCTCAGATTTCTCTTTAAATACAGTAATATATTTAATATTAAAAACACTTGAAGCATGTGTGTGTGTGACTCAACCATGGAAAGATAAGCAGAAATACAGGCATATATACAGAAAGATAACCTAAATGGATAAATAAATTAACACAGGGCTTATTATACTAAATTTACTAAAGTAACAGCCATCACAACAAGCTTAAGAGACAGATGTTCCTGTGCAGATAAAGAGAGAAGGGCCATGAAACTTACCAACAACAATACACAGGAAACTGTAGAGAATGCCCAACACTTTGGTCTTCAGATAGCAGAAGAGTGGCAAATCTGGATCAGTCACAGCCAAGCCACCTGCATCCACGAGACGACGATTGCTCGTGCTTTCAGTAGCATCTCCAAACGCAGACTCCACTACTCGGATGCCCCAGTGGGAATTTGAGATTAGCAATACTTTGAGAGAACGTAAATGAAGCTCCAAATGCGGGTCATTCTAAAAATAAAAACACATACATTAACATGGTGACAAATTATCAACTGCTACAACCATGTGTATTACACACTAAGAGGCTTTCTACATGGCAGTGTTGATCGCAATGGTGCCTTTAGTTATACACAGGAAAAACCCATCCAAACGGCAGCACATTAGCCACTTACGGTCCACAATTTTGTGTGGCCCAGGAATTTCCTACATATATATCACCTAATTCTTACTTTTTTAAAAATTCAGTTCTAAGATGTGTGATAATGCTTTGCATGACTTATTACAACAAAGACATAAATAGTTCATTTAGCACAATAAAACTCAGCTGTAAATTCATTACGCTACACCTAATACCCAACCATTCTCCCAAAGCAAATGTTTTTGCAGTCTTATTATTTAAAACTCAAAATATAAACACACAGTACTACATCTGTGACTTTAATTTTATGTCCTTCAATTGTTCTCTACTGATATATTGCTGTCAGTCACCAACCAACAGTGACATAAACTACGAGAACAAATGCTAAACCCTCAACCACGTGAGAAATTTCAGACAACATATATTTATCAAAGAGATGTTAAATTTAAAGTTTCTGATCATAGGTCCAAGAGTACAATATATTATGTGCACGATTATGTGGCAAACACAAATTATGATTTTTATACAGACCCAGCACTGCCTGTTCTGAACATAATGAACAGTGCATTAGAAATAAAATTTAGAATGCAGAAAACATATCTGTAATTTAGATTTCCAGAATAAAGTATCAAAATCTCTTCTGACTGTTAACTTTAAAGAGGTTACAGTATTGTTAGAGGAAGTTGGGAAGTTACAGAAAGCGGCAGTCCCAGTCAGACATTGAATAACTGGACTTTGTTACGCCTTTAGAAGTACTGAATTTTGTCAAAATACATTTGACCAAAATAGACTTTATAGACAATAATAAGCTTCACCTTAATTTTATAAAAGACATTTGCATTACATATGACAACAAAGCATTTTATCTTGCTCATAAAATTTTAAAACAAACAAATGTGCAAATAGAAAACTTAAACTCCATGAGACACAGCTGGAAAATTTTAACAACTCTTCAAAATATTACTCACCAACTTCTTTACAAGCCATTTGATGATTTCATGGTGTGACATTACAGCAGAATGTCCACCATAACATTGTTGGTTGATGGCCCGTGCATTCAACTCGGGATGCAACAGTTTGGCCAGCTTCACAGCAGGCATCAGTTCTTGATGATCCACACAGAGTTCTTCCTGCAAGGAGGACCACTGAAATGTCATTCACTATTTTACCAGACCACACGAATTTGTATTCTGTATGTTCCGCAAAACTACGCTTCTAAAAACATGCATCTGCATTATGCTTATTACTTACAGGAATACAATGCTGTCCACACTTTTGCTGGTTACAGTCTTACACATGGCAAAAGGTACACTCGATGTACAGTTCACCAACTGAGAGATGGTGAGGCAGTTTTACTTGTCCGCCTGCCACTAACACTTATGCCAAAATTGTCAGTAAGTGTTGGTATGAGAAAAGAAACATCTGTGTTGTATAACTCAAGCAAAAGCTGATGTTACACAGAAACAATGGCAGAATACTCAATACCACCTATTCCCTTACCACAACTGCCTCTCCAACTCCCAATCTGTGGACAGTATTTTTCCAGGCTTACCAAACCTGATGCATTGCAATTGCCAACATAAATTAACATTGATTAATTCATAGAATATATTACCCTGTTCAGTATACTAATCTAGTTTCATAACTTAGAGTGATATATGCTAAAATTAATATTTATATATAATTCTTATAATTTTTTCGAGAATGCTGTCCTGATCAGTTTATATTCTATGACTTCCACTTCTGCCATGTCCGGAGATAGGGATTGGCTCTATCGATTGGGTCCAACAGAGTATGTCTACCTGAAGACGGAGATAGAGTCCCATCTCCGAAACGTGTATTTTACCGATTTTATTTATTGGACAATGGATCATATCCAGAAAACTCTTTACTTCAAGTAATTCTGTGACTAAAACGAAGACCAAGATCCAAGAGTTAGTAAAATACTGTTAAAAATCATGTTTTGATATATGTAAGTTCAGAGGTAACACAATATTAGTTTTCTCACCTCAGAAGTGACAGACCCGCTCCAGCCCACTTTCTGCGGACAGATTGGAAACGTATTTCCTGCAAGAAAAAATATTACATTAGTCATCCTGCTGCTAGTTTTAGTGTGAGGGACTGAGGTGTCCAGCCACTGAACTTACCCTTGTCTTCTAGGCCAAAACTGACAGCATCCCTTGATCTCACACTGACATACATGACAGCCAGCACAGTGAAGAACAGTGCTGCCACGGCTAGAAGAATCATGGATACAAACTGAGAGTTGCATCCGAACTTCACCTCATCTTCTGTAGTCTTGAACTCTTGAGACAGATCGGACTGAGAGAAGCCGGATCGCCTGAAAATGCATGCAAACTTTTATTCTGAGTTTGTTTTAACTAACAAATAGCCAAAATTTCATACTCTAAAACTGATCTTCACTATATCCACAATCCCCATCACATGAAAAGACACATTTCTCAATTTCTGTACAATCTGTCAGAGCCTTTTGTTATACTTTCTCAGTTGCACTGCTAATACTACTGCTGCTGCTGAATATAAAACAGACATTATGACACAAATTAAAATGGTAAAAGCTATACAAATTATATATTAGCCATATAAAGCAGAGCACATATTTAATCTTTGATGAGTTAAAATTATGGCCCACACACTTCAACCGGCACTGAACCAATGGGTGCTTTCCTCAAGAGAATTCAGTAGGTCTTTCACGTATCATGTCTTGACCTGTCACAAGAAAGCATCATCGTTATCAAAGTGCCTCTTTCAGTATTCAGAAACAGTTAACATTACTCCATGTTAAGTGTGAATAGGGAATAGGAAGGATGAGGCAGCAATTCAAATTAACCCTTTGAAGCCTGAAGCTCATCTAAATAATATTTAAAAATTCAGTCAATACTGCAAAGACAACGCAACACATCTCTATTACAGAGATCAACTGGTTAATACTGTTTACAGAAATAAAGATACCATTGTCCAAGAATCATGTCAATCCCACACATAAACTTTGTGGGGAAAATGAAGAGATATCAAATGTTAAAGCAGGTGGCACAAACAGTTGCTTTAAAGTGTTAAATCTCCCAGACAATGTACAACATAGAGCAATTGGTACGTGGGCAGGCAAAAACACCTCAAACTTTGACATTTACACCAAATTGGTGGCTTTGTGCAATTTGGAAGCACTATCACGATCTCTCCTTTGTCCATGCACTGTTCCAAACTTACTCATTTATATAGTTAGGAAACAAATTTCTTCAGTCAAGATTAGTTGTTACTGCCATAAGATGGAAACAGCAGCTTATGATTACATCAGTATTTTCAAGAACAGTAATGAAGAATAACTGCAATTAAAAACAGCTTGAAATGAACCCACATGAAATCAGAGGATATGTTACATTGTGGTGCCACTATGTAATTCTTGTTTTTCATATGAAATACTGTATCCAAATCCATTAACAGTTATTACTTAGATATTGTAACAAGACCTCCCCTTCCTGTTCTTACAGCTCAAGAAGCAGAGAATGTAAGTAGGATTTGAGGTTTTCACGGCACTGAGTCTGAAGATGGCAGTCATCTGGGTTGTTGCGCCATGTAGTCTGGTAGAAGTTTACCAACATTTCAGAGGTAGATAACCCTGATGATGGAGGCAGCAAGGACCTCTGAAGCATCAATAAACTTCTACCAGACTACACGGCACAACAACTCAGAAGACAGCTTTCTTCAGAGATTGTAAGTCTTACAACTGCTCAAATTCTGGTACTCAATTATGAGGGGCCTAGTAAGCACCTCTGAAAATGTTCACGAAAACATCACCTCAGTCACCACTGTTTTACAATTAATTAATTACTTTATCTCAATGTGCACACTAGCTTTACCAGACTGAACTGATATTCTTCTACACATTTTGTATGTTTTAAACTTCTAGGCTTGAAAACAAGAATTAAGATCAGTTCTCAAATTTCCCACACAACTGCTGTGAAACTACTAATTTCTTCACCATCTATGGATACCACATGAGGAAGAGATAGCAATGTACTCTGTGTTGCCAACACTCATTAAATCACAAGAGAAAACGTGTTTCACTTCATTTTTGCATATGTTGTACTTTATTGTGACTCTGATGTACTCATCTGGATTAATCACACAAGAACACAGCGCACCTGAAACTGACTTCTCTAATTCAAACTTAGAAACAGACAATCTGGTCACTGTAGTAACATTTACATCTATTAAAATCAAGTCTCACTGAAAAATTACTTTAAAATGTGTTAATTACCAACACTAAAATTACTTTAAAATGTCTCCTCCAGTTTTAACATACATACCAGACTGAGAAATGTAACTCTACAACTGACATACACTAAAAAGTACCTGGAAGGGGTGAAGAGACCATTTGGTGAGTTTGGTGCATCATCATTTTCCTTCACATCAAAGATGCTTGATGGAGTTGATCCTAACAAATGATAAAAACAATTTATATTAATATCCAAACACATATAGAAAACAATAAACATGCGGGATGTGTCATTAATCAGGCCTGAACAAATTTCCTATAAATTTACAAAGCCATCTCCAAGTTACCAAATGAAATACTCACTGAAGATGGCCATCTTCTGGGATGTTGTGCTGGGTAGTCTTGCTGAAATTGACAGAAGACGTTTCAGAGGTGTTTACTACCACCATCATCTCACTGATGATTAACGCAGTAAGCACTTCTGAAATGTAAGTCAATTTCTGTAACTTCAGAGAGTAACATCCCAGAAAACAGTCATCTTCATACTAGTCGCTGAGAACTTAAAATCTCACAAAATACTCACCATATATTTAATATATGAGTATTGAACATTTACGCCAAATAAATATTTTGGGTTTACCGCTCAAAATAATTGGAAGTGTTGTTAAAAAATAAAATAAACCTACATGTCCAACAAGAAACATCTGACTGACGATGGTATATTACAGTATGGATTACTATATTCTTGGACTACATTTATCTTTTTTTTAACACTACATTTTGGAAGCTGGATCTGCTTCCATCCTTAGGTTAAAAAGGGTGAGAGGGGCACCTACTCAGTTGGGTCTGAAAAAAAGAGTTAGCCTCAATCACTGAACAACCAAAGTTAATGTATAAGATTTGAGGTTTTCACAATGATGAGTATGAAGATTCCTCTCTTCTGGATTGTTGCGCTGTGTAGTCTACACTGCGCAACAACCCAGAAGACAGGAATCTTCAAACTCAATATAACTACATCTATTCAACACATCTGAGTTCAGGTTTCATCAACAGGAGATAACAGAAAAAATTACAATAGAAATGTGAAAACCGTAGCATAAATATTATAAAATTCAAATTGTTTCAAAGCAAAGCTGAACTTTAGTATAGAACTGAGTGGCATCCAGCAGAGCCATGAAACGTGGTACAAGTGATAAAGGCTAGAGCATAAAGCATATCACAATTATTACTCATTCAACTGAGTGTAATTCCTGTAAATCAATCAAAACAGTTCCAATGTATGAACTTCTTAGATTCTGATATAAACTAGTAAATAATATTTATCAGGAAGACTCAACATTAACATCTATTTCTTATGTAAGAGAAAGTGCAACAAACATTTCTTCGAACTAAACTAGCAGTCACCAAAATGCATGCTTCAAAGCCATGGAAAGACTCCCCCCTTACTGCACAGCTCTTGAGTCAAAAGTCTGGCATTTCTAGCTTTACTGTGCATGTTCTGAGGTGTCTTCACTTGCCTGGGCTCCACATTTCATATTTCAACATTAAATGAATTTTCTGTGGCTTTGACACATGCAATTTGATGATGGCTACTATAGGGTCAGGATAATATTGTTCAGCAATTGCAAATAAAAACTATACCAAGTCCAGTCCTTCTCATTGTATTTTTTTCCAAAATCCCTCCATGTTAAAACTGGCAATATATTATCTTCATTATTTAACACTCCAATAGAATTTCACTTTTATATCAAACATACATCATACAACACCTAAACATAAAAACTCCTCTTATATTACAGTCCATCTACTACTACTACTACTATGGCGTAACAGCCCAAAATCGAGCCCTAGCCTCCTCACAGTCCATCTACATACCACAAATTGATCAAAAATGGAAATTACATTTGACTCAGGTACCATGTTTAACCACCTCTGCCTGCTACACTTCAGACATCAGCATCCATTATGTGTAACTTCCATTACTGACATAATTAACACTGCATCTTAACCACATTAGCGGTCTGATGTTCCTTATATTAATAAAGTTCTGACATTGTGAGATGTTAGAAGAAGGAAAAGCATATGGTTACATTGGATTTTTGTCTAGATAAAAAGGTCTTCACTAAACCTACACTTACTTGCAGCTGGGATCCCCAAAAAACAGGTAATGATGTTACATAAAGTTACTTCAAGTGAATTTATCTATGAAGGTAAAAAAAGTCCAACAAAATGAAGACCAAAAAACAAATTCAAAGATTTTAAAGGGTCATTACAAAACTGGATAAACCTAACCCATCTTTATTGCCCTAATGCACATAATGTTCTATCACACATACCTCTAGAGCTACAAGTACTAGACGACAATCCAGAAAGCCTCTTGACAAAGTTGGATTGGAATGGCATAGTTGTTGACCTGGTTGCCGTCCAACTGTCCGCAGTGTTGGTAGCACTAGATGACTGAAATGATTTTCGGAACCCTAGTAAAGTATTTACACTACTACTGTCAACACCTCTGCAATCACTTTTGTGCCTAGGTCGAACTGAGGACAGGCGGGACAGAAAGGAAGAAGAATAGGACACACTTTCAGTGGAATTTGATGGAGAAAACACCTGACCGGTATTGCTTTCCCATTTCTTGCTGTCAATATCAGAATCTGAACCAGTCTCAAAATCATCTTTAACTGTAGACGATACACTCGCACGAGACGAAATACGGCGAACACTAGAGTTCCTTAATGAGCCCGAGTTCAAACCAGGGCTGGAAGACAAACGTGAATTCCTCTTTTTGCTCGGCTCACTCTCCAGAGTGCCCGTTTTCTGAGCACTCAACATATCGTTTCGTAAGTTACTATCCTTACGACCCATCCTGCTTGGTGTAACTGCATATTCACTCAATCTTCCCGTTGACTTTCGTCTTGATGTTCTGAAATTTGAACTTGGAGGTGGCATGGAGCTATTTAAACGTGTTTTCAAATCATCGTTTTCACTGTCTTCTTCACCTGAGCTGAAACGCGATGAACTTCGACGCCATTTACTGGCGTCCGTCACGTCACTTGACCGCCCAGCTTGTACCATGAGAAGTTTTAACTTTTTCATTAAAACTTTTCGTGATGTCTCTGTGACTGG